GTTGAGGACATTTGGGCTTTTACTTTTTGGCTCTTATGAATAGTGCTGTACTTTTGTGAATATGTTTTGTGTGAATATATGTTTTCACTTCTGTTGAATGTATACCTAGGAGTGGAATTGCTAGGTCATATGTTAACTCTGTTTAATTTTTACAGAAACTGACAAACTTTAAATTCTCTCTAGCAGTGTATGAGGGTTCTAGTTTCTTCACATTCTTGGCAATACTTAATGATTATCTGTATTTTTTAATATGGCCATCTTGGTGGGTATACAGTGGTATCTCTTTATGGTTTTGATTTGCATTTTCTTAATAACTAATTATATTGAGCAGCTTTTTGTGTGCTTATTGCCATTTGTATATCTTCTTTGGAGAAGAGTCTATTCCTATTCTTTGACCTTTTTTAAAAAATGAGTTATTTGTCTTTTTATTGTTGTCGTTTTTTTTGGTATCCAAAATGTGTTTATTGGGATGGTTCCCCACTCATCTTGATTCAAGGCACTTTTAGTGCTGCTTCTTTCCGAAGGAGCATCCTTTTGTAAGCCTTGCGTTTCAACTCTTATAGACTGACAGAGGACAGTGGAGCAGCCAACACAAAAAACTGTTTGTGCATGGCTAAAGACTGGTGACTTTATAGCATCTTGGGCATTTCACACCCATGATGTAGGATTAGGGCCTCTGCACTAGGCACTTCTTCTTGTCTTCCTGTTCTGCTCTTCTGGAGAGGGATAAAGGAGATCCTTAGTGAGAGACATGGTGTTGTGGAAACGCCTTCACTGCTGGAAAGGTATCTTTTTATTGTTGAGTTGTAAAAGTCCTTAACCTAATCTGGATGCAAGATCTTTATCATTTATGTTTTAGGAATATTTTCTCTTATTCGGTGAGTTGTCTTTTTACTTTCTTGACAGTGTCTTTTGAAGCACTACAGTTTTAAATTTTAAGGAAATCCAGTTAATTTTTTTATTTTGCTGCTTGGGCTTTTGGTGTCATGTAAGAAAGCATTGCCTATCCAAGGTAATGAATATTTACACCTATCTTTTCTTCTAATACTTCTGTAATTGTAGCTTGTACATTTAGGTCTTTGATCCATTTTGAGTTAATATTTGTATATGGTGTGAGGTAGGGATCCAACTTCATTCTTTTGTGTGTTGATACTTAGTTGTCCCAGCACTATTTGCTGAAAAGAATATTCTTCCCACATTGAATTGTCTTGGGGCTGTTGTATCACATACTTTTTAGAGTTAAAATTAATTGTTTTCTGTCAAAAATGTTTTGGAGAGTTTTTAAGGCATTTCTTAAGACAACTGGAAATATTTATATTATCACAAGATAAATAGGGAAATTCTTAAAAGCTACTCACTCAGGTTCTTTTTATCCTTAGTTAGAATATTAACTGTTTTGGCTCATGTGACAAATCTTCCTTAAGTCTGTAACAGTTGGACTGTATTACTGTACCTTCTGACTAATTTGAGAGAGTTTTGCTGTGTATTTAATTACTGAGGTACTTTTTTTTTTAATTGTGAAAAATTTGACTAGTGATTTATCCGGTGATTTTGGGTTGGGGGCATCATAAGTTATAATTTCTTAACCAGAACAGTCTTTTAGATTTTTTATTTTTATTTTTATCATTGGGCTCCCTATAGCTTCTATCTTTTGGGTCCGGCCATGCCCTTTGAAGCAAGAGAATAAGTTTTTTTTTCCTCTTCGACAAAGTGTTCCTTGAATTTATGTCAATATGGGATGTCTCCTATTGTATCCTAGAATCCCAGGATTCAGGGAGGTGGTAAAGTGGCAATGGTGATGAGTAAATTATCTTGAAGTGGTGATACCAGGGCCAGCCACCCATATAGTAAATTCTGCATCTATTCCTTATTGTAAAAATGAACCAAGTCTGAGATTATAGAAGTTTATAGTTTAGAACTTTAAGCAAGGAATATTATTGTAGTATCTCATGCCATCATGATATGGACCACATTATTCTAGCAGCACCTGGAAACTAATCTTGGATAACACAATCTCCAAGAACAATAACCTACAGATATCTTGGTGTCCACTGTAAATGACCCTATAAATGGCGTGTAGTACACTGATATATATTTGTTTTAAATACAGTATAGATGAATTTCCCTCCTTAAATAGATCCTGAAGACATTTGTAGAATATTATATGCTGAAGAATGAGCTCTGAGATTGGCTTGTTAGAGTAGTGAATGTGTTTTATATATTGTTTCCCTACATTCTCTTTTCATGGCCTTTTAAACATATATACATAGTCTCAAGTTTTTCTACTGTGATTATATATTAATAGCAAAAGAAAAAATAGTAACTTTAAATTGGAGAAACCTGGAGGGCCACCTTGACCAAATGATCAAACTTAATATCACCAATATTAGAACCGACTGGCATCATGTGTTTCCTAATAAGATACATTGAGAAGTACACAACTTCACTTCTGTGGTGTTTTTGTCAAAAATGCATAAGCTGAGTCTGATTGTGATAAAACATCAAACAAGCCTAAATTGAGGGACATTCTGCAAAGTAATTGACCTGTATTCTTAAAAACGATGAAGGTTAAGAAAGGCAATGACAGGAATGTTGCAGATTAAAGGAAACTAAAGAGACATAACTATATGTAATGTGTGATCCTGGATTGAGCCTGGACAGAAGGCATAAAGGATATAAAGTACATTATTGGGACAATTGATGGAATTTGAATATAGACTATGAGACTATGGAATGTTAACTTTCCTGATTTTGATAATAGCACTTACCTAAAGAGAAAGTCCATTTTCTTAGCAGGTATACATGAAGTATTTCGCTGTAGAGGGGCATGATGTCTCCAATTTATTCTTGGTTGTGGAAAAAAGTGTGTATGTGTGCATGCATATGTGTATATATAGAGATAATAAAGCATGTGGGACCAAATATAAACACATCTGATGGGTCTGAGCAACGGTTATGTGGGATTTCCTTGTGCTGTTCTTGCAACTTTTCTGTCGGTTTGAAATGATAATAAAAGTTACAAAAGTATCACTGAGTTGGTGTTAAAATTCTTTAACCCAGTTCACCGTCATAATTTCATTTATTTTTCTATGCTCCCTTGCAGAATAGCTTTTAAACCAGTGTAGTTAATTATGCCTTCCTATTCTGGGATTCTTCAGATTCCAGAATAGGCTGAATTAGGCTTAAAAGCAACTATATTTTAACATAAGTGGGAACCAAGGAAAATTTCAGAGTTTAGACAGTTTGGTGGAAAAATGGAACAACTTTGCATTTCTATTTTAATAGTGTGGTTTTAGAGTGTTTTTTGAAGAACTAAATTTTAAAAGTACCAGATATAGCCATGTTCAAACAAAGACATTGTTATAAACTGTTGCCAAATAGATATTGTTTAAAGTATACTGTTTTCTGTGTACTTTATTAGTATACAAATTAGAGAATAGCTCTAATTACTGCTTGGCATATGAAACAACTAGAAGTTATGCTTGTTTTATTTGTGCTTCACATCTAAAATTTAACTTGTTAGTAGTGTATGTGAAGCATCTTTAAGTACTACCTGTTTTCCTTAAAATATTTTTCTGACTTTGAAAGTATTATTTGCCTATTATTAAAAAAACAGCGGAAAAAACCCCCTCACGAACTACCAAGAAGAAAACAAAATTACTTATAATCATACATTCCAGAAGTAACTGCTGTTAAGAGAATTTCTTTTCTGTAGTTTTAAAAAATATAATTGGCATTATAATTATATACAGTTTGACCATGCTTCCTTCATGTAACATATCATGTACATTTTCCCACATCATTAAAAAATCTTTGGCCATATTATTTTTAAACTTTAATAATATTCCATTTTACAGTATACCACAATTTAATTATTTACTTCTTTTCTGAGATATTAATTTGGAAGGCAAGTAACTAACTCATACTGTTTACAAATATGGAAGATACAGAAGAGTGATTATTTTAATTTATAAATTTTATAACAAGTAATTGGACCTCTTTTTTTAATTGTTCCTTGATTTCCATTCTCTCTTAAGAAGCATTGTTGGGAAGAAAAGCTTTTAAGAGTCACATTACCAATATTTTTTATAGTAAAGAATGTTGTTTTGGTGTTAGCTAATCCATAAACATTTGGAATTTTAAATAATACGTACTTTACAGATGTTTTGTCAAATTAAAAACTTTAACATTAAGGTTTTCATTTGGCAGATATGAATTCAGGGATTTTGAGATTATATATTTTACTTCATAAGTATGTAAGAGAAATCATTCAAAATTTAAATCTTTAGACATTATGTTTTTAGAATGAGTAGCAGACTCAGGACAATAAGCATTGCTTTTAAGGTTAGGAATTATATAATAAGATAATCTTGATTACAAAAAGCTGAAAGTGATCTTTTAGGTCAATTCTTGGAATTAGTGATTACCTTACATTAAAATGCTATTGTAGGATTATTTAACTATTTGACCAGAAAACATATTTGAATAATTGAAAGTTTTCTTCCTTTTTAAAAAAAAATGTTTTTATTGATTTCAGAGAGAGGGAGAGAGAGTGAGAAATATCAGTGATGAGAGAGCATCATTGATTGGCTGCCTCCTGCATGTCCCCTACTGGGAATGGAGCCCACAACCCGGGCATGTGCCCTGACCAAGAATTGAACTGTGACCTCCAGGTTCATTGGTTAACGCTCAACCACTGAGTTACACTGGCCAGGCCCCTGTTTTTGATTGAGTATTTATAGTTTTCCAGATAGAAGAAGGATTCCTTTCTAACAAAGCAGTAGCTCTAAGTGTATGTATAAGTAATAGGTTCATTAGTCATTGTATATGAGTAGGTTTATGTTCTCCGGTGCTATAAAGGTCATCATGATCTAGGTATATGGCGGTGTTTCAAACTTCAGAAATAAATACCTGAAATACACATTGCATTCATCTGGAAGAAATCAACTGGTAGGCCCACTCAAAGGATTAACATCTCTTACAATTTCATGTTTTGGCAGGTAAACCTAGCCTTTAAGCAACCTGGAAAGAGGCTAGAACACCAAGGAATTAGAATTGAATTTGTAGGTCAAATTGGTGAGTTGTAAAATAGTACTTTTTTTTCTTTAATGACTGAGTTTGAAGAGGGTTGGATTTAGCACTTAAATAATTGAATTAGAGTGTAGCTTTGTGAAAGGAATTGATTTTGCATAATAGAAGATTTAATTTATAAACATTAAATCATGTTTCTTTTCATTGTATTAAATGATATTTGACTCATCCTGCCTTTACTGTTAACATTAATTACTAAAAATGAAAGGAGTTATATAAGCTACCAGCCTTGAAAAATAATTCGGGTAAATTAGTTGATTCACTGCAACTTCCATCTGCCTACATTTTTTCACCAGCTTTACTCACAATTATATGTCACCTTCATCCATCACTTTCTAATTACCCATCCCCTTTGTCTTCTTAGCCTCGTGTGTGCCACTAGCCACTCACCTGTCAACAGAAAATTCCATATGAAAAGGAAAGATGTAATTTCTTCTTGACTTAGGTCAACTGTGTACATTTCCATACATGTATTTCAGAGACGTTCTTGATTTAGCAGAAATTTAACTGTATAAATATTGTGGTTCTACTGATCCAGAAAAGAGAAAATAGGTCTTTATAATACTGTATACATAGCTAGGTTTTCTTTTTTTTCCCTCCCCCCCCGCATTACTTTTCAGAGAGAGTGGAAGGGGGAGGGAGAGAGAGAGAGAAACATCAATGTGAGAGAGACTCATCAATTGGTTGCCTCCTACACGCACCCCAACCGGGTATCGAGCCTGCAACCGAGGTACGTGCCCTTTGGCCGGAATCAAGCCCAGGACCCTTCATTCCACATGCTAACACTCTAACCACTGAGCAGCACTGGCTAGGGCTACATAGCTGGGTTTTAAATCTAGCTTTCTGAGTTTTATTGTACATTTTTAAAAGTGTCAAAATTGGAATGAGTGGGTGTTTATTCACTTATCGATTCTAGAGGAGATTATACTTGAGGGGAAAATTATAGTAATTAACTGATAGACATTTTAGTTTTTTGTATATTATAGTTTTATCAATTTGCCTAACTAAAGCAAAAGAATAAAACACTTTTTGCCTTGAAGGGAGGAAGTTTACAAAATTGCTGGAAATGTATCTTAAAACAGCGTCATATTGGGCAAACCCTAACTACATTAAAGGAATGAATTTATTTTTATTTGCTTTGGAGGTAGAAGTTTGGGCTTTAATGAAATGACATTAAATATAACTGGTCTTTTTGCTTTTTAAAATTTCTTAGAACTTTTCAATGACAAGAGTAATACTCACGAATTTGTAAATCTAGTGAAAGAACTAGCCTTACCTGGAGAACTGACCCAGAGCAGAAGTTACGATTTTGAATTTATGCAAGTTGAAAAGCCATATGAATCTTACATCGGTGCCAATGTCCGCTTGAGGTATGAATTAGGTGTATTAGCAGCTAGACAGAGTAAAAACTAGAGAATAATGGTTACTACTGAATGTCTTACTATTACTTCTAATTACAATTCTAGACTGGAAGGCTTAAGGTTTTAAAAATTTTGTCAAATATTTTGTATTGTCTGGCTAATGCTGACCTGAGGTGGTAAGAGCCTTCTGTCATTACAGATTTAGAGAACCCCATTATGAGAAGTTTTAGTCATATACTTCCTTTGTATGAATTGTCCCTTAAGTACTTTGTTGTGTAAATGAAATTACTCTAAATCCATTAGTTTCCCACCAGATCTCATTTACTATATGGTTAAGGAGTGATCTAGAGAGATTTCCTCAAATAGGATTGGTGATAGCACACCAAATTCATCTAAAAAGTATGTACCCTAGTATTAAAATTGAACTGTTGTTTATTTTTTCATGGGGGGGGGGTGGCATTTATTTAAAAATTAGAACTCCTTCATGAAATAAATGAAGTTGATCCCAAAAGAATTCCTCAAGGAGAAAGCTGAGTAAACAGTTAATGTTGTTTTTTTAAAACGCTGAAATTTATCATAGGAGACTTAACTTGACTTTTCCATTAACTTTGTAGGTATTTTCTTAAAGTTACAATAGTAAGAAGACTGACAGACTTGGTAAAAGAGTATGATCTTATTGTTCACCAGCTTGCTACCTACCCTGATGTTAACAACTCTATTAAGATGGAAGTGGGCATTGAAGATTGTTTACACATAGAATTTGAATATAATAAATCAAAGTAAGTACCTTTCAAAAACAGATAACTTAAATGTTCAGGGAAAATTAAGAAATAAGCTTTTTAGGTTTTTGTAAATTGGTCAAAATGAGGGTAGAATTGACATTAACCTGATGTTAATAGACCAACAGAATCTCTGAGGTGAAAGAAACTTTAGGAGTTTGTTCTGGTTCCAGACTCAGTGCAACTGTCTTTCACACTCATTCATGATAAGTCTCCACTTTGTCATTTTTTGTAGAGCATCTTACACTCTCAGAAGGCAGCTAATCCCTTATGTCTAAAAATTTATTTTACTGGCCTGACATCACTTTAGCCTGGTCATTTCTTTTTTAGCCTGGTCGTTTCTTAAAAACTAAACAAAAATACTTTTTTCTGACAACATAAATAATAAATACATTTTCATTGTTGAAAATTTTGATGATGTGGGAAAGTCAGGAGAAGTAAAAATATCACATAGTTTCACCTTTTACCATTTAGCCACAATTAATATATTCTCTTATATGTCTTTCCATGTGGGAGGGGGAGGGGTATATGTTTATATATGTTGTATTTTTACAGAAATGGGCTCTTATTTTGTTTAATGCTTTTTAAAGCTTTATTATGGAAATTTTCAAACATATACCGAAGTATATGAACAGTATAATGAATCTTCATGTACCCACTGCCCAGCTCCAACTTTTGAGATGTTTTGTCTGTATTCAGCCCTGCACTCCCCATAGAGTATATAGCAGTGTATTCCAGACATAAAAGTTTATCCATAAAAATCATGTATCATTTTTAATGACTATACTTTTATATCTAAAAATATTAATAATTCATTAATATCTTCACATACCCAGTCAGTGTTCACATTTCCCTAAACTGTCTCATACATGGTTTGTTCAAATCAGTATTCAAACTTGATTTGTTCAGATCCAAGACATCCAAACACATTGAATTTGGTTGTTTGACTCTTAAATCTAATTTATAGTTTTCTCCCCCCTATTTTTTTCATTAAAGTTTATTTGTTGAAGAAATTGATGTACATACTCTTTTATCTTCTTCCTGTACACTCTTTAGTTACACGATTTTTATTAGTTGACACTCCCCAGTTTATATCACTGAAAATGTGACGTGCATGTCTTCAGAGTCTTAAATTATGTTGTTGATAAAATTGTCAGATAGTTTAGGACCTAAAAACTTGTCATTGGGAGCTTCCCTTCAGATTGACATAATTGCATTAATCAACTCTTGGGATATTATTTTGAGATCCAGACCTGGGAGAAGGCTTAAAAGGCCCTCTGGGTATTATAGGAATTCCCAGTTTTATTACCACTTCATTTCAAGGTACTTGGGAAAGGTCTTTGATTATTAGATATTACAGCAACAAACTCAACTAGGGAGCCTCTCTTGCAGGCCAGGTGATTTGTTAGCTACACTATTCTAGCACTTGGAGTAATAATGACACTAAGCTCTTGTGTAGCGTTTTTATTGTTCAAAAACATCTTCATACACCAAATTAGTATTTCAAGCATAAGAATCTTAATTTTCCATGCTTCTGTTTTTTTGGAAACTAAGTTAACCTCTGAGTAAGGACCAACAGTCAGGCTAATTCTTCCTTCTGAGGTATATTGAAGTCAAGTAAAAGTTTGATTCCTTTTTTTTATAGTATGGTCATGCACTGCACAATGACAGTTCCAGCGGCAACACACCGCATATACAACAGTGGTGGACCATAAGCCTCAGTGTTTAGTAGGTTGTACCATCTAGGTTTGTGTTGAGCGCACCCTATGATGTTCACACAGTGACAGAATTGCCTAATGATACATTTCTTAGAACGGATCCCGTCATTAAGCAGTGTATACTGTAAAATGATCAATACCTTTTTATTGTTGTTTGTTTAAAATATTACCGATGTCCCTTTTTCTCCCCAATGACCCATTCTATCCCGTCCCATCCCTCTCCCCAGTCCCTCTCCCCACCATTGTCCATGTCCTTGGGTTGTGCATATATGCATGATCAATATTTTTTGAAAAAGAGGAACATTAAACAATATGAATAGTCCAAAGTGGTATTCTTAAATAGTTATTAATCTAAAGATGTCTAATAAAGCCTTTCAGGACATATTTCATTCTTCTTTGTTTTTTAAATATTTGGTATAAGTGAGATATATTCTTTCTTCAAAGGTATCATTTAAAGGATGTGATTGTTGGAAAAATTTACTTCTTATTAGTAAGAATAAAAATCCAACATATGGAGTTACAGCTGATCAAAAAAGAGATCACAGGAATTGGTAAGTTGAAAGAGTATTTGAATGAAAATTTCTTTTAGTTAAAATTTTAAAATCTTAAAATCTTATTTAAACATAAAATAAATATTCACACTAGATCTAACTTTGATACTTAATATTGCTGGCAGTAAGTTACTTGTTTATATATATTTTTAAATTGACTTTAAATATAATAGTTCACCGGGGGATACAGTTTAAGGCCTGTAGTGGGTGCCTCAAACGACAGATAATACTGGACCCTATATACACTTTATTTTTTTCTACACATACAGACCTATGGTGAAGTTTAATTTATAAATTAGGCACAGTAAGAGATTAACAACAGTAAAATGGAACAATTATAACATACTATAATAAAAGTTATGTGAACACTCTCTCTCAAAATATCTTATTGTACTGTACTCACCCTTCTTGTGATCGTGTGAGATGATACAGTGGCTGTGTGATGAGATGAAGTGAGTTGAACCATGTAGGCATGGTGGCAGTGTTGGGTTACTGTAAGAGTTACTTGAACACAAGTACTGTGATACCATGACAGTTGATCTCATAAATGACACAGCTATTAAGTGACGAACAGGCAGCTTATACAGTGTGGATATACTAGACAAAAAGATGATTCACATCCCAGGCAGAATGGAGCAGGATGGCACAAGATTTCATCACGCTACTCAGAACAGCGAACAATTTAAAACTTACGAATTGTTTATTTCTGGAATTTTCCATTTAGTATTTTTGGACTATAGTTGACCGCAGGTAACTGAAAATGTGGATAAGGGGAGAACTGTAGGTAATAAATTAACATGGTTCAAAAGTAAAGTATAAGACACTATACAGTAAAAAGTGTCCTATTTCTCTACTCCAAATGCTCATAGGTAACATGTTTATAAGTTTTAAAATCCTTCTAACCCGGCTGGGCGTGGCTCAGCAGTTGAGCATCGACCTAGGATCCAGGCGATCGGGGTTCGATTCCCAGTCAGGGCACATGCCCAGGTGTGGGCTCAATCAATGACTCTCTCATCATTGATGTTTCTATCTCTCTCTCTCCCTCTCCTTTCCTCTCTCTGAAATCAATAAAGATATATTTAAAATAAAATAAAATAAAATCCTTCTAGATTTCCTTTTTGTCTGATATTTTGAGGCAGCAGTGGTAGCAGCTGCTCTTCTAGTTTCGCTATGCCACCCAAGGACAAGGAGAAGAAAGATGCTGGAAAGTCAGCCAAGAAAAACAAAGACCCAGTGAATAAATCTGGGGGCAAGGCCAAAAAGAAGTGGTCCAAAGGCAAAGCTCAGGACACACTCAATAACCTAGTCTTGTTTGACAAAGCAACATATGACAAACTGTAAGGAAGCTCCCGACTATAAGCTTACAGCCTCAGCTGTTGTCTCTGAGAGACAGAAGATCCATGGTTCCTTGGCCAGGGCAGCCCTTCAGGAGCTCCTTAGTAAAGGACTTCTTAAACTAGTTTCCTGCCCTGGGTGGGTAGCTTGCTTAGAGCATCGTCCCAGTAAGCCACGGTTGCGGATTCAATGTCTGGTCAGGACACATAGAAGAAGCAACAACCAATGAATGCATAAATAAGTGGAACACCAAATCGATGTTTCTCTCTCCCCTCCTTTCTCTAAAAATCAACAACAAAAGAACTAGTTTCAGAGCACAGAGCTCAAGTAATTTATAGCAGAAACACCAAAGGCAGGGACACCCCAGCTGCTGAAGATGCATGAATAACAGGTCTGTCCCACCAGGTGTACATTTTGAAAAATAATACTTTATTAAATTTTTAAAAAATCATTCTATTTATATATATATGTGCAAGTACTTCTATATTATACCCTCCCCCCCCTTTTTTAGTTAAATGTTTACATACAATACAGACTTGCCACTTGCCTTTTCACTAGTAATGTATCTTAGCAATCTTTTCATATCAATATATAAGAAAGAACACTTCATCTTTTTTGATAGCATTCCATTTGGTGTGAGTATTAGAATTTAACCACTCTGCTATGGGGCATATACAGGTTGTTTCCAGGCTTTTATTACAGAAGGTGCTTCAGTTAACAATGGCATTCTGTCTGTGTGTATATGCATGTGCAAGATAAAATCTTAGAAGTGGAATCGCTGTTCCAAAGAGTATGTTCATCTTTAATTTGATACATATACCAGTTTGTCCCCTTCAGGGCTTGTAACAATTTGCATCTATCAGCAATGAGTGTAGGAGGGTGCCTCTTTTTCCTCTATTCCCACCAGCACAGGGCTATAAAACTTTTAGCTGATCTCACGGGTAGGGGAGAGAAGTTCCCCATTGTAATTTGAACTTAGTTTTCTCATCCTGGATGAGGGTGAGCATCTTTTCATGTGTATAAAAACCATTTGTATTTCTTTTGTAAACTGCCTATCTGTATCCTTAGCCCCATCTCTATTGGATTAATAGTCTTTTCTTATTTGTACAAACTATTTATGTATTAGGGAAATCTATTCCTTTTCCTGTTAAGAGCAGAAAACAAAAAACATTCCCCAGATTGTCTTGCTATGGTACTTTATGCAATGTAAAAGTTCTTGATATTTAGTTATTAGTTTTTCCTTTTATGGACTCTGGGTTTTGTGCCATAGTTAGAAAGTCCTTTTTCACACTGAGGTTCTAAGAATAATTTTCTTCACTTGATTCTACTAAAATAATACATTATAGTTTAGGGATTTTGTTTAAATTTTTAAATCATTTGGAATTTGTCCTGATGTAAGATATGAGGTATGGATCCAACTTTACTTTTTCCAGATCGATGACCAGTTGCCCCCAAATCATTTATTGGTTTGTAAACTGCTTTTTAATTTTAATTAGCATATAGATTTAGTTTGTCCCCTTTAGCTTTATTTGATTTTTTTTTTGCTGAAAATAATTTTAGGCAACACTTTTTTAGAATTTTTAATTGGTAGTCATAATTATAAACATCTGTGGTTTCCTAATCTCCATATTTTACCTGCTAATAAGTTTCAGTGATTTAAAGACATTAAAAGCAAACTTCAGGCTCCCATTTGTCTGTACAAGTTATTTATTGAAACATTTTTTCTGAGTATAAAAATTATGTTTGATTCTAGAAAATTTTAAATAAAAAATAATCTAGCCCGGCTGGCATGGCTCAGCGGTTGAGCATCAACCTATGATCCAGGAAATCACGGTTCGATTCCCAGTCAGGGCACATGGCTGGGTTTCGGGCTTGATCCCCAGTAGGGGGCGTGCAGGAGGCAGCTAATGAATGACTCTCATTACTGATATTTCTGTCTTTCTCCCTCTCCCTTCCTCTCTCTGAAATCAATAAAGACATATTAAAAAAATACTCTGTACTCAATCCAGAACAGACTTCAGTCTTCGTGTGTTGTATATTTTACAATGTAAGAATCATTACTATATATTTTGGTATGCTTTTTCACTTACCATATCATTGACTTTTAAAAATGTCTGGTTTTAATAATTTCTTAGTGGGTGAATACCCAAATTTAAAAGAACTATATGTGAATCAATTATTCAGTTTGATATTTTGTTTATGTTAAAGTTAACCCTAACTCCAGGAGAAGACAGTTTGGGTGTTGCAGAGAAAACTAGCAAGTCAATGGTTGGTTTTGATGTGCATTATTAGTTTCCAATTTATCAGATATTAGAAACTATAGAAGGAACTCTGAAGATTCTTGCACTGTATGTTATCTTTGGGAGGAAGGGAGAGGAACATTCAGTTGAGTGTTAAGTATGTTACATGTAGATTAGGATATAGAAAAAAATGGTCAACATTTTCACAAAATGTAAAGATAAAATAGTACTAAAATAATGTAGTAGGAAAAAAGAATGTGTAAGACTGGAAATTATATTTTGGAAATATTTAATATCATTTACATTATTGCAATAGGACCCAGTACCACAACAGAAACAGAAACAATTGCTAAATATGAAATAATGGATGGTGCACCAGTCAAAGGTAACATGCTTTTCATTTGTTTCTTTTGTGTTATAGGTAGTGCAGACAGCAGTGGTCATGGCATTTTTGTTTCAAACTATTTTTGTAGTGTAAGAATATTTATGAATTCTTAAAACGATTCTTTAATGATGGTTTTTAAGGCCATCTTTGTGTATATACTGAGAAGACTGTAATAGTACTTCATAGTCTGAAATAAGGCTTAATTTTTTTACTGTTTAAATTTAGAATTTAGATAATATGTGTATTTGTCTTCTAGTTCTGGTTTTGTAATATTTTGATTGTCTTCTGTTATAATAGTTCATCTCTGTAAATCTTTTTTATTCTTACTGAACATAAGATGAAGTATAGGTGAGCATTAATTCCTATGGGATTCTAGAGTCCTTATAGCCCCCAAGAAAATAAGCAGTTCCATTACTAGATAATCTTCAGTGTGTAAGATAATAAAGCCAATATTTATCATTTTAAGTGTATGTCTTTGTCTTTTTCTCACTCCGTTAGTAATCACTTGAAAAAGTAGCTGTTATTTATTGAGTGCCAACTACTCTCGGGCGCTCTAAAGTTCCCTACCCCCTTTGAGTTAGGTGGTGGTATCCCTTATTTTACAGATGAAACCAAGATGCAAAGAGGTTAAAAAGCCCTGGTAAGGGTGATATAGTGTAGGGGAGGCAGAACTTTACTTCTACTCATCTTAGGTTTTAGCTGGGACTGTGAAACAAAAAGACAAAATGATAAGAGCAGAACAGAGTTTCTTTAATGCATGTAGTGCGTGTCGTGCAGGAGAAACCTTAACAGAAAAAGGACCTCAAAGCGGTGGCTTAGAATTTCAGCTTATATAGCATATTCAAAAAACATTGGAGAACAATGACTAAAGAAAATAAGTTTTAGGCTTCTAAGGGTGGCAAACTGTGGGAAGGTAAATACATGGGAGGAAACTAATGATTCCTCTGGTGCCATCCCTGGGCTGATAAGTCTGTCTCCAGTAAAAGGAGAACCTATATCCTGCCTTTAGGCAGAAGACGGGGGGAGCCTTTTTGGCTTTTGCTGCTTCTTAATTGCCTTTGGCTCAAAATAATTTTTATGTGAGAGAGGCATATTTAGTGGTGACATATTCTGGTTTCCTGCAGTGATTATTGCAGAGTTAGAGTTTGAGCCCAGGCCTTTTCTGACTCCAAGACCCATATGTGTGTTCTCTTATATTATGCAATATTCCTTTGTAAAATTCCAGCAGCCACAAATTTTTATGTAAAGTGATGGGTTGTTATCTCAGAAAATAGATATGTGCAAGAAAAGTATTATATAAAAGATTCCAAATGGAATATGTAAACAGTTACCCCTACGAAAAGAGAAGCTGTGAGACTCTGAATAGCAATCTGTTTGGTAATGCAGGAATGCCATTATTCTGAACATGTTTGTTGCTTTGGACAAATTAGTAATAAATATTTAAGAATTTACACATGATTGGAAATTGTGCTAAACGTGAAAGCAGAAAATAACAAAACTACTAAAGCAGCACTTACCCGCTGGCACTGTTCTAAGCCTTTTACATCTAGTGTTAACCCATACAGTCCTACAAACTCTCTGCACGATGGGTGTTACTGGTAGTCCCCCTTTCACAGGTGAGGAACTTGAAACAGAATTAAGTGACTTGGTCAAGGTCACACAGCCAGTAAAACAGAGTTGAGATGAGAATCCAGGCATTCTGGCTCTAGAACAGTGGTTCTCATCTAGGGGCAGTTTTGGACCCCTCACCACCCCACCCCTAGGAGATGTGATGAAGAAGACAGAAGGTACTTCAAGCAGCAGGGATGGTGCCATGCAGGCTGGTATTTTGTTCAGTGGCAGTTCTAAAAACACCTGGACAAACTCGTTTTCCACAGCTTTGTTGTACTGAGCCAAGGGGGTTACTGATGCCTGGAGGCATTTTTGGCTGTCACACTTGGGGAATGCTACTGGTGTCTAGTGGACAGGCCAGGGATGCTGCTAAACCTCTTACAGTGCCTAGGGCCTTACCCACAACAGAATTAACAAGCTCAGAATGTGAATAGTGCCCAGGCCGAGAAACCGTTTAAAGTTTTAGTTGTGCTGCCCGCTCACGAGGGATGAAGCGTTAGTGTCTTCTCTATAATAATTAGTTCCAGCTACGTGACTGTCTAATACTCATCTAGAATTCAATGGCAATTGCTTCTCTTTCAGGTGAATCAATTCCAATAAGACTGTTTTTAGCAGGCTATGACCCGACTCCGACGATGAGAGACGTGAACAAAAAGTTCTCGGTGAGGTACTTCCTGAATCTGGTCCTTGTGGACGAGGAGGACAGACGGTACTTCAAGCAGCAGGTGGGCGCCGCGCGGGCACCTTCCCGGGCTCCCTGCCCGAGCGGGCTTCCTGAGGAGCTGGCCGCCCGCCGGGCGTGTGATCAGGAGCGGGTGTGAGCGGAATCGCGCCGTGATCGCGTCTGCCCAGTCATTCTGCAGGACTCCAGAATGGGCTACAATTTAGCAGGGCTTTTTTCTCTTGAGTTTTCTGTGTTTTTTTTAAAAATCTTCACCTGAGGATATTTTTTCCATTGCTCTTCAGAGAGAAAGTGGAAGGGAGAGAGAGAAAAACATCGATGTGAGAGAGACACATCAATTGGTTGCCTTCTGCACAGGCCCTGACTGGGGCCAGGGATGGAGCCTGCAACCGAGTTACATGCCATGCCTTTGGCCAGATTCGAACCCTGGACCCTTCAGTCCATAGGCCGATGCTCTAACCACTGAGCCAAACCGGCTAGGGTGAGAGTTTTGTTTTTTATAAAAACAATACTACTCGCTGTTTGTAAAAATATAAAAATAAATCAGGCAATAAAGAACAAATTGAAGTAAAAGGTCATCAAAAATTCCACCCTTGCCCAGTGAGCATGGCTCAGTGGTTGAGCATCGACCTGTGATCCAGGAGATTGTGGTTTGATTCCTGGTCAGGGCACGTGCCTGGGCTGTGGGCTCCATCCCCAGTGGGGTGCGTGCAGGAGGCAGTTGATCGATGACTCTCATCATTGATGTTTCTCTCTCTCTCTCCCCCTCTTCCTTTCCCTTTCTGAATTCAATAAAGACATATTAAAAAAAAAAAGGAAGGTAAGGCTTAAGTGAAACGAGGCATTCATCTCAGTATCTAAGATTGAAGGGACAAGGGCTTGAACTTGGATAAGGGTGGTGGAACAGCAAACCAAAGGCCAGTTTATTCTTTAAACCAATAATAGCTAGGATTTTGTGCCAGGTTGGATTGGTGGTGGTAGTGTGCATGGGTGCTGGTGGGGGGAGCAGAGTTGGCAGAAAGGGCGTTCCAGATTAGAATGAGAAGAAAGTCGGTCAGTCAGGGTGTTAATTGGGAAGAATTTCATTTTGTTTTGGTTAAAATGGGAGTGGCAGCGTTTTCATGGTGAAAATTTAAGACATTATATGAGAACATTAATCTTGCATTTCTTTTATTAGGAGATCATTTTATGGAGAAAAGCTCCTGAAAAACTGAGGAAACAGAGAACAAACTTTCACCAGCGATTTGAATCACCAGAATCACAGGCATCTGCTGAACAGCCTGAAATGTGAACTGAATAGGAAAATAAAAAAAAACAAAAACTCTCATAATTGTTGAGATGAAGTTGGGCAGGTTAAAGATGGTTGCAGCATGTAGGGGGAAAGGCCAAAAGTCCATGTATAATAGTGTTCCTTTATCTTACCACGCTGCATTTATTTTATGATACAACTAAATATTCTTCATGTACTACATTTAAAAAAGTGCTTTCTTTGAAACACTGGGACTTCCTTAAGCTGCCGTTTTGGTTTTTTTACTGCACACTTTGATGATAAGCACTCATATATGCATAACTGTAAACATTAAACATTTTCATATGAGTAGGCTGGTATTTCTAATTTTGCTTTCTTTCTGCATAATGTTGATTATAAATCCATTTCTTTTCCTTTTTCATGCTGATAATTACCTCTTATTCTCTACATGCAAAATTAAATATTTTGTGTTCAAATAAAATTGGAAAACCTGAGTGGCCCTTATACCCTACAGAGATTTAAAATGGCATCTCAATATTTTTGCATCCTACATTTATCTTACATATGTATTTGAGAAGTGCATATGGAATGTTTCACTGTAGGTGCTTCTGAGTCTACCATTCCATAGTTCCTGAATTTTATTCTCTTTGAAGCTTTCTGTGGTAAGAATATTAATTTTTCTTCCCCAGGAATTACGTAGCATGTTATTACAGCCCCCCTTTTTTTCTGTCATGTTAAGTAATGATTTTGCTACTTCTATCCAGCAGGTACACTGTATGTTTTCTGCAATGTGGACTTGACTCTATGTTGGCATTTTAAAGTTTGTTAAAACTATATAATTTTTCCATAAATACTTTGACATTTTTTTAAATTTAAGGAATCTTTTTACCACATACATGCAAATATAATATTCTTGACTTCACAAATACTCTCTTCCCTTTTCAGGGGAGAACTTGAGGATTGGGGTGCTTCAGGTAGACCTGTTAATAAGCATGTAGTTATCCATATCTGGACAATATCGTGTTTGTTAAATTGGAACTTTGGCTCATTCAAACTAAATTTTAAATTCCACCCACTCTGTTTAAATTTTAATACTAAATTCAAGTCCTTTGTTCAAAGTCTATAAAAAAGAAGGCTGCAGTCATGTGCATAAGGTCAGCTCTCAGATACACTAGGGGGTGTAGGAACTAAAACAACAAAGCCTGTTGTGTGAAACTACTTTCACATACGGTTAATTGGTTTTTGTACCAATATTTTTTATACACTTAAGTGCAAGTCTTGTCAGTTAACCTTACTTTATGAGTAAGCTACATAACCCAAATTACATTTCTTTAAACTTGTTTTACTACTATGGCACTTTGATAAAATGTCAGTAGCCAACTTCTTTACTGGCAAGAGGTTCCATGTACCATGTGCTGGAGCATCTATTTTAAATGTGGATATCTGTGAATGGTAATGTTTTCCTTTCATGTAAGTGCCTGTTCAGAGTTTCAAAATTTAAAAATGCCAAATATTTTCATGGTCACTTGCATGTAGTAATCTAGAAAATATTCAAAGAAAATTTGAAAACCCAGTTGTATTTATCCAGCCTCAAATTGTGTGACCATGATGTATAATAAAGAATTTGAAGCAGATACTGAGCTTGCTTTGAATGATTAAAATAATTCTATTCTCAGCTCTCTTCTCAGTGTGATATTTATCATTGAGGCCAGGAAGCTATAATTGTGACAAAAATTTTTATAAATATTGTCAGTTCCAATTTTAAATAGCTATGTAATGCTATTAGGTGGCTTAAAACACTGTCATAAATAGGATGCTTATTCACTTTGCTTGAGACTTTGTTGCATAGCCAATTTGGAATATAAAAATTTGAATTCAGTTTTTGGTGAATTGAGCAAAAAGCTGGCCAGTTAATCGGAAGTGAATGGAAAAGAAATTTGTGTCTATAGAGTACAATATCTAATCTGATGGTTCTCAATATCTAATCTGGTGGTTCTCAATCCTGGCTACATGTTTAAGTCACTTCAGCAGTTTTTGAAAATAACCATGCCAGGTCCTACCCAGAGCAATAAAATCAGAATTTCAGGGGCCCGGACACAAGCATTTAAAAAAGCTGCCCAGGGTTGAGAACCACTGTCTAAACCACTTAGTTATTTTTTTCACTAGTGAAGAATTTTCATTGTTTTGAACCGGGGAGGAAAACCTTTTTCTCTAACTCTTCTATGTTTGGGAGTTTGCTAATTAAACTGGCAAAAGACAAATTAGCAAGAAACATTTAATTGCATATAAGTGAGTTCACAAAAATGTGACACGGTTGGTTAGAATTTGGGGCTTAAGGATCATCTCATTGATAAGGGAAAGAGTAGGTAAAGGACACAAAGGCTGTCTTAATAGGGGAATTTGCGGGGAGAAAGGACACATGGAAAAGCGAATGACTTTTAGGAAAAATATATGGGTTCTTAGGAGAATAGAGGGTAGATACGATCATTTTGTGACAAAGTCTGTTTAGATGTGGTACGACTTCTTTCTGGTGCTGAGTTAATCTCCCCTGGTTGCTCCATGAGATTTATGACAATTGAGTTCTTTTGGGAGGCTCTGCTTCTGGCAGATAAGGATTTCAGGAACTCAAATACTTTGTCAAAACTTTTATGCCTTAGTGTCATATTCTGGAACCCTTTAGTATGGATGTAGTTGGAATACTCAATTCTAATTACGATGTGAGTCAGTAGTCATATTTAATTATGTTCCTTTTATATTCAGCTGAATCTGTTGAACATAGTATAGAAAGGAAATCTTTAGGGGTTTTTACTAGCCTGGATTGGAATGTAACATTTTAAGTTGCAAACCAGATAAAGGCATAGTGAAGCAAATCATTAAATATGTATAATGCATCCTTTCTTAGGCTTGGGGTCTTCTATGAGCTTCATTCTTATGTCACTCCCATACCTAAAATCTTACAGTGACTCGATTCTAGGGTAAAGTTTAAATTCCATATTACTAACACCTTCAGTTCCAGTTATGCCAGACTCTGGAGAATACCCACCCACCTTCCTACACGCCAGCTAACTGCTAGTCAAGTCTCTCCTGGCCAATCTGGCTTGACCTCATCTCCAGGTCAGAGATTTGTGTTTATTGTGCTGCCTAGGCATGCTGTGTACACCTCCAGGACTCTGCTTACCACACTTAAAAGACGTTCATTAAATGGATTTTAAGCCTCTTGAGGGCTAAGCCTGTTCAGTTTGGTATACTCTGTGCTTATCATACACAATATCTGAAAAAATGAACGAACCTAACTTTCCTAGTGATTATAAAATCAAAGGTGTCCTTTAGAAAGGTATATGTGCCCAAATGTAATAAAATTACTCTTGTATCCCTGATGTTTAAAAAAGCGAATAAAAGGCACATAGCAAATTGTTATTGAAATCCTATTTGACACTTCAAGTTGCAAGATCTTAATGATTTATGTATAATGAAAGGTGGAAAAATGTAACAGCATACTGTCAATTTAGTGTTGCAAGCTCATGACAGCATCCAGCCAATGCAAATGAAGCTAAACTTTGGCCGGGGGCAGAGGACCTATTTTTGCCACGCGGTTGTGACATACCAGCTGCGTGGAAGTGCAGAAACTGCTCACCTTAAAGTACTGGCACGTGCTATACGAGGGGTTTACCTAAGAAATGCGGACCAGCAACGTTCCTGTTGGGCAAATCAAGTTATGCTCTCTAATGCTACTCTATCAGAAAACTAAAGTCAATATTACAAGAAACCTTCGGGGAAACGTCTTTAGTGTTGGAGCCCGCAAGCCACGCTCACAGCACACAAACTGCTTCTCGCGAACACAGCTCACAGCGCTGCCCACGTGCTTCCAAACCTGCGCCTACTGACCGGGCCAGCTGACGTCACGTGACACTCCGCAGGCCCCTCCTCTCATCTGTGACATCCGTGAAGATGCCTGATAATTTTCTTTCTTTTTTTTTTTTTTTTAGAGAAAGCTGGCCCCAATATCTAATGAAAGACAGAGAACACGAGCTTATCTTTTCTAGTTTTCATTCCTAATCTTTTCCTCCCCTTTCGGAGTAATCCTCCTGCAGGCACTTTTTCTTTTTGATCGCGCGTTTTCCTGGGCAACTCCTCTGCTGGGTCTGGGTCTTTCCGGAGAATAGGCGCTGGCGACGTGCGTCACTGTCAACCGCCGGTCCTCTCGCGGCTCCAGCCAGTCTCCTTTAGGGCCTGCGGTCTAAATGTCCTTTCCGCGGTGTGCCCTGCTGTGGGCTCGGCTCCCGGCGGGGCGCCACGCTGGCCACCGGGCGGCCGTCTGCTCTGCTCTTCGCGCCCAGGTCGCGCCCTTCCCTGGGCCCCTGGGGCGCGTGCCCGCCGTTGCCTCCTCCTCTGCCTCAGGAGGTTCCAAAACCCCAAACACGTCCTTGTTTGTGCCGCTGACTGTGAAACCGCAGGGCCCCAGCGCAGATGGCGACGTCGGGGCGGAGCTCACCCGGCCCCTGGATAAGAGTGAGTGCGGGAGGTAGCGGGGCGGCGGGCGGTGTCCGCTGGGCCTACACGCGGCCCTGAGGCGGTTGCGGCCCCTCTCCCCCCGGAGACCGAGGCCCCCCCGAGCGTTGTCATCGTGCCTGCCAGGGTCGTGTTGGGCTGTGTGGTGGTTGCCGCGAGGAACCAGACTCAGATCCAGATCTATTTCGCTCTAGAAACGTAGGAGGGTTCGAGCCACATGACCAGTGATGTGAAAGGTCAGGGGGTCTAATCCTCGTGACCAGTGATAGGTCAGGGGTTTCAGACGCATGACCAGCCGTATATATGCCAGGGGAGGAAAGGCCACCCTGGGAGCGGGGCCCTTGTTTTCCCTGTTTTGCCCATCCTTCTTCCTCTGTTCATGTTGTCGTAACTGCCCACCACATTCCTAACAATTCACAGTGTGTGGCTGGATCAGTAAAATGTTTATCTCCACAGAATAATGCAGTAATACTTTAACATGTTCAATGGCAATACAGTCTCAGCTTGATTAATATAAAATATTTTTAATAAAATATTTAAAATATTGATTCATAGTATCACGTTACTTCAGCAGGCATCCAATCCGACCTCCCCTACAGTACAGCAATTTCTCTGCCATCACCTTTGAAATACAGTCATTTAAGCCTTGAGTATTTTTCATTGACAAGGAGCTGGCACTTTTGTGAGGCAGACCCTTTTCATGGTTCTGGTTGTTAGGAAGCTCTTGTATAAATTCCACTGAAATCAGCTCCCCTCCCTTCCCACTGACTTTAGTTATGCCATCTAGAACAAAATAAGTGTAACCTGTTCTCCCTAAAATCATTATCTTCAAACTAAAGGTCATCCCTGGCTCCTTTAGTTATTTGCATAAAAGCGTAATGGTCTGGTCCTTGCAGTATTGGTTGTCTTTCTAGACACCTTTAAGCTGCTCACTATTAGATGTTCATAATGGTTGTAAGTAAACAAAATAGAACATGGTTGTCTAAAAGTGGCCTAATGAAGGCTAGAGGCAGCGTCTAATCCTGTAGCACCTTGCTTATTCCTCTGCAGAATAACAGGAATATTGCATTGCTTGACGTTATCATTTTTCTAGGCACTCTATCTCACTATTAAGTCATGAGCTTGTGACCAAGTAAAACCTTCTAAGTTCTTGCAGCACTTGGTAGACTGCTGCCTTGAGTGTTATGACTTCAAGTTTCTTTTGTTTTTTAGGCATTTCTCTGTTTGGAAAAAAAAAAAGTTAAATAAATTTTAAATTTTGAAACCTTTCTTCCAGATGAAGTAAAGAAGATCTTAGACCAGTTTTACAGGAGGAAAGAAATTCAGAAACTGGGCGCTGATTATGGACTCGATG